ATTCTGCCCACACCCAGCTCTGGGTCCCAGCTTTGATCTCGGCAGGATTCTCAGAGTGGCTGTGCCACAGAGGAGACTGGCCCTCTGTGGACTGGGGAGCTGGATACCCTAGCCCCGTGGTCGGCAAACTGCGGCTCGCGAGGCACATGCGGCTCTTTGGCCCCTTGAGTGTGGCTCTTCCTAAGCTTTAGGAGTACCCTGATTAAGTTAATAACAATGTACCTACCTATGTAGTTTAAGTTTAAAAAGTTTGGCTCTCAAAAGAAATTTCAATCGTTGTACTGTTGATATTTGGCTCTGTTGACTAATGAGTTTGCCGACCACTGGCCTCGCCCTCTCTCATGTGCCATGTCTGGCCAAGGCTGCCCTCTGATGCTGGGAACCCCAGCAACTTCTCTAGGACTTTCAGACCCCACCGCTGCCAAGGCTCAGGTGGGCTTTGGAGTTGGCACCCTTCTGCTTGTTCTGTGGGTCCCAGTAACAAGTGGGCCCTTGAGTTGCATTTTCCTGTGCAAGGCCTTCACACAAATCGTGGGTCACAGCACAGGTTCAAGAGACAGCCGGCCCACTCTGGGCCTGTCTTGTTCCTTGAATTGTGGGGACCCTGGACACATCCTAGTATCCCAGCCTCTCACTGCAGTTTTCCACCCCGGTGCTGGGAGATAAGCAATCTGTAGGCGCAGAAGGGAAGGGCCCTGGGCTCATCAGAGGAGGCCTTGCAGGCTGGAATTTTCATTTGGAGCTGGCTGGGGTTGGGCAGGAAGGGTGGGGTACATATGCAAGAGGATATGAGGAGTAGCCTTGGCCCCCACCCCTCAGATATAGCAGGCGATTAGCACTTGTGGGGCGAGACTGCAGAGCAGAGCACTCAGCCTCCCTCCAGCAGGTCCCTGCAAGTCTGGGGAATGTTCTTCCCTCACATGAAGGTGTTTTGCCAATGGCATACCAAAGTCCTAAAAAAATCCCCCTCAGTGGGTTGAAACTGTGGGCTGGAAATCAACAAATACTTTAATTAGAGGAACTAAAAAAAGTAAATACAGAAAAAGCCTCTGCCCTTTGCTTTCTCAGGGAGGGTGGTTTTATCTTTCTTAGTAAACGCCGGTTTGGGGCTTACCACAGGCCAGGCTCCTACAAACTGTGCATGTATAAACCTAAAATGGTGAATAAGAAAAGTGCTTTTACCATTTTCTTGGCATTTGCTTTGGTCCTTCCATGTGGTGCCTGGTGCTCTGGAAATGTGCAGCCTTTCCCTGCAATGGAGAGGCAGGGACGTGATTCATTTATACCGGCTTCGATGACTGTGGTGTCGGAGGCGTGCAAGGGAGTGTGAGTACATTCTTCACCAGATCATGTTCCTTTCCTCCCTGCCCATTGCTGCTCCCGCCACCGGAGCCACAACAGGGATGGGAAGGTGGAGGGAGAGACTGGAGCTGCCCTCTCAGAGCCTCTGCTTGGCACACCGTGTCCTTGTCCCGAGTAGCTTTAGGGCAAGGTGCAGGGGACAGAGTTTGGTTCCCATCTGACTTTCTTTTCAGCTGTGGGTGAGCTCCAATCACACGGGGTGAGTCAGTGCAGGCAGTGACTGGGTTAGGGACCGGGAAGAAAAGAGAGGACTGCCCTGAGGCGGGACATGTTGCCGCTCCCAGGGTCAGCCTCAGAAGACCTGCAGACAAACGGACACCTTCCTGGCCCAGCTGCACATTCCTTTCCATGTCACATAGGCACATAGACTGCGGGCCTTGATCGCTGTCCACTGGGACCAATCAGCACTGTCGAGGGCTTGGGAAAATAGGTTAGCTTTGCCCTGGCTGGTGTGGCTCAGTTGGTTGGGCGCCGTCCCGTGCACCGAAGAGTTGCCGATTCCCAGTTGGGGCATGTGCCTGGGTTACAGGCTTGATCCCCACTGGGGGCCATTAATGTTTCTCTCTTTCTAAAAAAGAAAAATCAATTTAAAAAAATAAAGAAAATAGGTTAGCGTTTCCAAGAGAGACATGGCATCAAAGGCAACAGGCATAAGAGAGAGAAATGTGTTTTCAGCAATTGTGGGGTGCCATGTACTGGGCTGCCACAGTGGGGGTACAGTAGTGAATGGGACAGGCCTGTTGGTGGTGAGGGGGTGACGAAGGGTCTGAGGACAGAGCTGGGTCTCCTCCTAGATCTCCTTTCCAGGCCCAGGACAGTAACCCATACCACTCACCTGGTGACAGGGCGGCCATGGAAAGGCTGGCTTAGGGAATCCTTCTGACCTGGTTTTGGGAGAAACTCAGTGCCCATAAGCCAGGGGTCCTCAAACTACGGCCCACGGGCCACATGCAAATACAAATATTGTATTTGTTCCCGTTTTTTTTTTTTTTACTTCAAAATAAGATATGTGCAGTGTGCATAGGAATTTGTTCATAGTTTGTTTTTTTTTTAAACTGTAGTCTGGCCCTCCACCGGCCTAAGGGACAGTGAACTGGCCCCCTGTTTAAAAAGTTTGAGGATCCCTACCATAAGCCATCCAAGGCAAGCCATGACCTCTTTCCTATGGGCCTGACTGATTCCTCCCCATCCCCTCCCAGCCATGTCCAGATGTCCCTCAGTGACTCATTCATATAGGAAGAGGCAGAGTTCAGAGAGACAAAGCCCCAACCCCAAATCCCTCAGCGAGGCAGGCTCAGGGCCAGGGCTAGGTCTGGTCCTGTCCTGCATGCCATCCATTGTCCTGCACTGCCTTGCCTGGGCTGTTTAGCAAGAGCCACTCAGTCCCACTCCAAGGCTGCATGTCTCCGTCACCTTCAGAGAATGACTTCCTGAGGCCCGTGTGGAAGGCCTGTGTGTATCAGACGGCTGACCAGCGGCTCTCATGGGGGATGAGGCTTTACTGCTTCTCACTACTCCCTGCCCAGAGCCCTGAGAATTTCTGGCATTGACCTGGGCCTTTCCTGGGCGGAGACTAGCCTCTGAGCCAAAGTCAGCACCAGGGCCCATTCCCCTAAGGCGCTTGCCTGTGGGTGCTGACACAGGTGGGAAAGGAATGGGTGGTGGAATCCCCTTTCTATCTTTCCCCTTCCCTACCCCCCACTCCAATCAACTGATAAAAGGAGTGATAATTCACACATGACTCAGTGTTTGGAAGTCCACCGTCAAATCCATATCTCCTGAAACAGTTTTCAAAGGCTTCCGTCGCCCTCATGCCACCACCAGTCCCTGGGTTTCCATGGCTGATCAGCCTCAACCCTGCACCTCTAGCGAGACGGGTCCATTCACACCCTCACCCCAGGACTTACCCACTCCCTGCTTTCATGCTAGGATGAGGCAGTTACTTGGAGCGCTGGCTCTGTCTCTCTTCTGTCTCTGTTTCTCACCATCTCTCTGTCTTGGCTTCCTTGCCACAAAACATGAGGCAGAGACGCAGATGCATTCTCAGGCAGTCTTTTCCAAGTGGCTGAGGAAATGTGTCTGACAATTGCTGGACAGGGCACCTTTCTGAAACTTGACTTTCCCTAATCCCAACGCAGCTCAAAATATGGCATGCGCCAGTGCCAGGGTGTGCTCTAAGATGTGATAGGAGATGACACAGCAGCCGCACTTACATTGTTCTGAATGTACCCGGCACAGTTCTGGATGTATTAATTCATTTAATCTTTACAGCCTCATGAAGTGGACCTATCATTATCCCTATTTCACAGATGAGGAAACTGAGGCCCAAAGAAGTTAAGTAGCTGGTAAGTGACAGAGCCTAGATATTAACCCAGGCAAGTGGGGCTCCAAAAGCCCTTGTCTTCACCATAGTTCAGTTACCAAGACCCTGACTTGACCCTTTAGAGAAGGACTGGAACAGTGGCTCTGGTCTCCTGCCAGCCTGTGAGGCCAGAGGGCTTTAGATGCCACTTGGCAGTCAGTGTGTCTCAGCATCTTCCTGTAACCCGGGGGACAGGAAGCTCTACCTTGAGCGGAAGTGGTGGATGGATCCTTAGGGAGACCTTTCGCCTCTCTGGACTGTCAGAACCCACAGACTCTGGAGAAAACTCCAGTGGGTTGGAGTCACCTCTACAACGTTTCTGGCCATGAACGTTGGAGATCACTTACTGTCACTCCTCTCCCTACTTCCCCAGACACAGGGCAAAGGCCTAGGGGCCTCTGTGGCCATCTCTTCCCGATGGCCAAGAAGTTTCTGATGACCACCCCGCAACACCTCATGTGTGGTCCAGAGTCTTGGTTCAGCCTTTTTCTTTCTAGTTCTCATCTCTCCTGACCCAAAACTCCCTATGGCCAAGACACCCAGACAGGGCCCCACAGAACTTTACTCTGAATGAGTAGAGGCCACGAAAAGGAGAAGGTGATAGGGGACAGCCCAGCCTGGGGGTTATTTGGCATTTTTGATCCTTTGGGATGGACCAAGCTACCCAGTGGCCTCATGGGGATTAGACCATCTCCTTGCACGAGGCTGCCTCCCACTCTGAAAAGAAATTAACCCCATTTCATTCAGACATGCAACCTCATTTCTTTTGGCAACATTGGGCCTGATTTCCTCCAGTCCCTCTTTGAAATAAATGGCAGTTGGAGTGCTTACTATGTGCCTGAGATTGTGCTAAGCTTTAATATGCGTTGTTTTATTCGCTTCTCACATTATCCAATGGTATTAATGCATTATTATTGCCCCTGTTTTCTGAAGCTCAGAAAGGAAATGTGTTTTATCTAAGGTCACGCAGCTAATAAGTGTTGAGCCTGATATTTGATTCCAGGTCTGGTTGTTCCTAGAGCCTATGTTCTCAACCAGAACATAAGTGGTGATGCCCCAGGCTCTTCAGGGCGCCCACCACCCCAATAATCTCCACCAGCAACCCACACATCAAAGCATCCTCATCTAAAGAGACCACCTAAATGAAAACCGTGTGCTCCACTGCAAACAGCTTTGAGACAGGTCTGCCACTCCATAGCTTCTTTCTAACTAGATCCTAGCCTCTAAGCCTCATGCCCACCGATGAAGAAATTCTGGAGGTACCACTAGGGCAGCGGTTCTCAACCTGTGGGTCGCGACCCCTTTGGCGGTCTAATGACCCTTTCACAGGGGTTGCCTAAGACCATCCTGCATATCAGATATTTACAATATGATTCATAACAGTAGCAACATTACAGTTATGAAGTAGCACCGAAAATAATTTTATGGTTCGGTCACAACATGAGGAACTGTATTTAAAGGTCCAGAAGGTTGAGAACCACTGCACTAGGGTCATCGTTGCCATTGTCCCCGCAAGATGGAACTTCATACCTCTCTGGATCTCTGAGTCCCTAGTGTTCACTTAGCCATCAGCCTTCCCAGGCAGGGTATGTGCCAAGGAGTGAACAAAGCTCCATTCACAATGACCCTCCTCCCACCCCCACCATACCCTGCTTTTCTCCTCAGCAGTCCAGGACTCCCAACCGGTTTCTGAGTTTGTCCCAAGGGCTTGTCTGATCCATCAGCCTCCTCACCCTCCAGGCCTTCCCCAGAAGGGGCAGCCTCACTGTCCAGGGCTAGGAAAACACTTGGTGCCTCACAGCCAAAACATCATGACTTATCCAGCTGCCAGCTGACCTGGGCATCCTGGGCCCCCTCAGTCTGGCACCAGTCATGGCCTCCTGCAGGTTGGCACACTGCCCTAAGCAGAGAACAATAGTACGTTATGGTCTGCAAGACCTCAGACATAACATGGCTTCATTGTTTGGAGTCTGGAAAATGATCTCACGCTGACCCTGGGAATTGAGGTTATCTCTATTCCCCGAGTGAAGCACAGCCCTTCTTTGCTCAAGAACACACAGTAGCTACCTATTATCCTTATTCTCATCTCCTCATTCCTCTGGGTCCCTGTTTCTCACCAACCCTCCTACCAAATGTAGTAGTAGAATAATGGCCCCCAAAGATATCCAAACCTTAATCCCCATAACCTGTGGATACATTTTACTACATGGCAAAGGGAAATTAAGGCTGCAGAAGGAATTAAGGTTGCTAATCAGCTGACCTTAAAATAGGGGAATTACCCTAGACTACCTAAATGGGCCCAATGTAATCCCAAAGTCCTTAAATGTACAGGAGGGAGGCAGAGAGGAGGTCAGAGTGATGCCATATGAAAAGAACTTCATCGTTGTTGCCAACTCTGAAGAAGGGAGGAACCATGAGACAAGGAATGTGGGCAGCCTTGGAAGCTGGGAAAGGCAGGGACTCTCCCCTGGAGCTTCCAGAAGAAATGCAGCCTTGTCAACACCTTGATTTTAGCCCACTGATATTTATTTCAAATTCTGATCTCCAGATCTCTGAGATAATAAAAACTTTTTACAGCAGAAACAGGCAATAAGTGCACCATCTCTATCCAGAGTCTGCTTTGGCCAAGGGAATCTACTCTGCATCCTCCACACCCAGGTTACCCTCTCCCAACTTCTCTTCCCTGCCTCCTCTACCCAGCCCTGCTGGCCCTTCCTGCTTCCTGAATTCTGCTCCTCACAGATCCCCTCCAAAAGCTTCCCATTGCAGAGGCTCACTTTTCATCTCATTTATGTGCCCATTACACATGTTACCACCAGTCCCTGGACTAGGTCCATGGAAAACAGTAAATAGGCCACATTCACCATCTACTGGGGAGCTTCTGATGGATGCATGTTTTCCTGTCCCAGGGTCTGTATGCATTCTGGCTTTCTGTCCACAGGTGTTCACAGGCCCCTGAGTCTGCCTTCCTCAGCACTGGCCTTTCCCTCCTGACCTCTCTGAATTTCCTTGCTCCAAGGCTTAGCAGGAGCAGTGTCCATTGTGAACTGACAGGCACAAGTGCTCCTTCATTGGCTGAGGGTGGGAAGGATGCAGGCTGGAGTTAGACCCATCCTTCGATTACTACTTGATGAGAGTGAGCCATCAAGCCCATTCCTGCGCCATCCTGGGCCTGGCTTCTTAGGGTGGACCCAGGCTGCTTGATGAAGAGCACCCCACTTTGCCAGGCTTCATTATGCTTCTTGGAGGGGATTGGTCTCTTGGTGGCATCATTTACTGGCCAGTTGATTTCCCCCATTGCTACCTTTGTCTGCCTTGGGTTCTCCTCCTATCTCCTGCTGTTAGCTACAGATCTTCATGCTAGTGAGGTAAAAAAAAAAGCAAGAGGGGCCCTAACTGGTTTGGTTCAGTGGGTAGAGCTTAGGCCTACAGACTGAAGGGTCCTGGGTTCAATTCCGGTCAAGGGCACATGCCTGGGTTGTGGGCTCAGTCCACAATAGGAGGAGTGCAGGAGGCAGCCAATCAATAATTCTCTCTCATTATTGATGCTTCTATCTCTCTCATTTTCCTTTCCTCTCTAAAATCAATAAAAATATTTTTTTTAAAAAAGAAGAAAGAAAGAAAGAAAGAAAGAAAGGAAAGATGGTAGTTTGTAAGGATGAGTCCCTGTGGGATGGTGAGGAATGTGTCCTGGAATGTGACACCGTGATTCGTGTCTCCCTGAGGACCTTGTGCTGGTGAACAAATGCTGACATTTCCCAGTGGTCTAGCTCCTTGTGAGGGAGGCAGTGGAAATCAGCCTCACCTTTCTCTAAACAGTCCCCTGAGGGCTCACCCCAAACAGAACAGGCTCTGTCTATCTTCCCAAAGGCCCATAGTTTTCTTGGTTTGTAAGAGCAGAGAGCACTCTTTGTGTTGGAATTTTGACAGAGGTCAATTCCTGGAGGAGAACAGGGTCATGCCTAATGAGTTCATCTCATAATGACCTCAGCTGGGAGCATAAGCTAAAGACAGTCTTTCACCTGAAAATAGCTCTGGGCTGCTCAGGAATTCTGCCCTCCGCTTAACCCTATACCCTCATGAGGATTCCCACAGCCCGTGACTTCTCCACATCCCTCCAGGGAAATGAGCACGGGTTACAGCTCTCCCACTGGTGGTGGACAGCCCCAGATAGAAGTAGAAGGAGCAGAGTAAGTGATATTTTGGGTTCACTCCCTGAGGAAACCAATTCAGCATGGATGTTCTAACTCCCTAACAATGGGTTCAGATTACCCAATTGGGCACCACCTTCTGAGTCAGTGGGACAGGCATCTTCCAAGGCCTCCAGCACCATCAATTACCTGCCTCGTCCTGGTTCCAGGATTCCAGTTGAGCTTCAGGCTGGCAGCAGGTAGGCCACATTCTTCACTCTGATATGCTCGGATCCAGGGTGTGGTGGTTTTCCATGAACAAGAATCCTGATATGTCTGAGGCAGGGTCTGCATCCACAGATCCCCTGAGGGCTGAGGGAAGGAGCACCTTCTTTCACCTTTCACAGAGCCTCACTCTCCCTGCTCTCCTTCACTCCACTTCCAGCACCTGGAATAGGCCTTCAACTGGACTATTAAGCATCTTCCCTGGGGCAGATGGGTAGGCCCTGGGAGCACTGGCCCCCAGTCCCCTGGTGGCAGCCTGTCTCCAAACACAATAGGTGTTCAGAAGTTGTCTCCCTTCTGCCTTCCCTCATTGGAAGGTC